CCGTTGCTATAAAACTCCTCACCAAATCCCCCCAGGTTGGGACGCAGTGTTTTTGAGGGGCAGGAGCCTGCCGTGTCCGCCTTAGCCTGCAAAGCAATAAAGCTATTCTTTTCTACTTCAACCAAAACTCTGTCTCCGAGATTCAACTCGGCACCAGTGCGCAGAGGCCGGGTTTTCGGCATCGCAATCTGACGCCAGAGTTTGTGCCCTCCCATGGTTAGCTTGGTCTCTCCGCTGGCGTGGAATGATCTCTGTCTTCAACGGCAGCATCTTGGTCCTAAACTGGTACCTGATTCGATAACTCGTTCATACGCCTATCCTACACAGTTATGGCACGTGCCTTGTAAAAATATGCATTCTTAATATCCATCACATGACCAGTTTGAGATAAATGTCAGTACTGGTATGTGCAGATACGAATTCCCAAAGCTGGCAGACATATCTGCATATCCTTGACATTTACAGCATACTTTCCAGTTACATTGAGCTCATAATACTCCTCTATTTCCTCATGTATGGTTGACAGTATGACCTAGCAGTTACATGCATGGTTCTGAAATAGAATGGCTGGGTTCAAAGCCTGGATCCACCATTTACTAACAAGTTAACTAATGTCTCAGTGCCTCAGTTAACCCACGTGAAAAATCAGACTGTTAACCACAGTGCCTGTGTTATGGGCTTGTTGTAAGATATAAACAAGATCATACACATAAAGCTCTTGGCACAATCCCTAGCACATAGTAAATGCTAAGAAAAGCCCATGGAGGTATAACTTTTGCACCCGCCATCGTGTGTATAAGCATTGCACACTCATCGCTAATGTAATAAGGGCCATCGAGCAGCAAGGGATGTCTGGTTGCACAGACACATCATACATACACCAGGGAGCTCTCTAAACATCCACGTCGCACAGTGCTACACAGGCTGCACGTATGAAATCCACGTATCATTTCAGTAGTTCCCCACTTACAAAAAAAGAGATGGATAAAGACGGAGGTCAACTTCATAGCTTAAAATACAGGTTTTTTAATTTTAAGGCCTGTGGAGAAGGGGGGAGGTGAAAAATGGTAACAATTGGAACGATTATGACCATGATCGTGATCATTATCACTAGTATGAACAGAACTCTCAGCGTCCGGCATCTCAGATTTCCGTACTTGCCTTTTCTAAGGGAACGAGAGAATGCTCGATTGCTTCCTAACAATGGAATGGTTTTTGCCCGTTCAATTATCAGCTCCATCACACCCCACACAGAAGTTAAAAGATGGCATCTGGGTCTTCTGTTCAAGTGGGTGACCCTTCTATCCCTTTCATTACAGGAGAGGCAACTGGTCAAGTTAATGCAATGTACTGTAACTAATGCCTTGGAAATACCCCGAGCACGACAGTCTTAATCCACTTTGAAGGCCGGCTGTATTCAGAATGTGAGGCTTTATACTAAGCTTTATATTATAGTAAAATCAGCTGCAGGGGAAAATTCTCTTTGCACCAAAGAGAAACCATTTTTATTTATTTCTATAACTTACAAGACACTGATGCCAGAGGGAAAAACCGCAAACAAACCTCAACAATAAGATACCAATTTACCCCTTGGCTGGGCTACAGCAACGGCAGCCATGTGGATTTTGCACAAAGTCCATGTATGTGTGCACGATATCTGGAACGCTTATGGGCATCACGGAGTCAACAATTAACAGGGATTCTTAATAGGAAACACTTAAAACAAAACTCGAAGTCCAGTTTTACCAACAAAAAGCAAAATGGCAAAAGTTAGCGATTAAATGGTGACTAACAAGAAAGGACTCTTGCTTATCGTGCAAGTTCTAAGCTCCTCAGAGAGGACCCAGAAGAGGGAGAGCTCCACGCTTTCCCTCTGATCCCTCCTCAGGTGCTTCGTGGAACGTTCCATTCATTCCTGAATTTCAACAGACAAAACGGGATGTGCAAATGGTCCCTGAGTTCTTGTGGAAGTTTTCCAATGTCCCCTCACCACCACCACCCCCCGTCCCATAATTACGTTTCCTCATGTTGGTCGATCAGCTCTCTATTCCAGACACATTCCCCCAGCGCAGCCACCAATGCAACGAGGGAAAGGCAGGAAAGGTCACAGCAGAGTGCCCCATAGCTCTCATTTTGACAGTATATGTGCTTTGCTGCATTTCTCAAAGGTATAAGGGGTGATACCGAATAAAGGAGGAAGTGGAACTTTTCTCCACTGCTGGCTTGGAGGGCAGGAAACCACGTGTGTCCCACCTTCCAGTAAGGGTGAGAGTCCTTACCCTTAGGTGAACTCAGGGCAGACTGTGATATAATTGATGTTCTTTTGCAGGCAGGTAATACTCAAACTCAAGACGGATTCTGTCTAAAAACAATACTTATAAGGTAAGGAAGAGAATAGATACAGGTCTTTGAGTTTCTTAGCTTAAAAAATGAAGTCAGACAAAGTTATGGGGAAAATAGTATACTTAGGGAGTGGGGCTTTATATAATAGCACCAAGCTTTTGGAAAGCAACACGGAAAAATTTAGTTAGAGCCTAACACCTTTGCCCTTACATTCCTGCACTTACCAGCTTTGTTATTTGGAGGAATAGGGTTTGGGAGTTAGGGAGACCTGAATATAAATCCTAGCTCTATATTCACTGCCTACGTGACTTAGCCAAGCTACTTACTTTTCTAGGTTTCATTTTCTCTTCTGTGCAAAAGGAGAAAAATAATACACACTTCCCGGGTTGTGAAATTAAATGATACACTACAAGTAAAGTGCCTGGCACATAATAGGCACTCAACAAATTGCTTTAGGTTTTGTTTCTCTTTTTTCAACAGTAATAAGAATTATTTCTTATGTAAGAGAGAATGTTTATTTAACAGTGAAAAGTTGCCAATAACCAAAATATTAAAAGCAGAATGACTAAGGAAATCATGGTATTTTCACTCTAAGGAGAAATGCAACTATTTAAAAATATAAACATACATCTACTATATATTTAATCACTTATGGTTATTTGCATAGATTTGTATATATTTTCCGGAAGTGGAAATATATTGCACATACACTAAAATTATAACATCGTGTTTGTGTGTGTGATTTTCTGTATTGTACTAAGTGGTGTTATTATACATTTCACTTGCTCATAATAATTGTTTTTAAGGTAATAAAATATTTTTAATCTAAAAAATGTCAAAATTAAATTCATTCCTTAATTTAAAAAGAAGAAAATTAGGGATGTGCAGATGGTCCCTAGGTAGTTCTCAATCTCTGGCGAAATATAACTCAAGCCAGTAACGCCAAGCCCACACCTGCCACATCAAGACTAAATAATAGCAGATCGGTTCCAGAGCTGACATGATTTCTAGAGATCTACCTGCTGGATTCCTAAAAGGAAACCACCATCTGCCTTGTTTATTTGATTATTTGATGCCTGTTGCAGATATCTGTTATGCCTGCTGTACTCTAGGTACCATGCTAGGAGATAAATCTGTAAGTATCCTGCCCTTGAGGAGCATATAACCTACTAAAGAAGGTAAACTATCAAAATATTTAAACAGAAGGCCCTGGGAAAGTGCCCTTAGAGGTAGGCAAGGCACTTTAGGGATAGCATCCATTGTCTTAATAAACCGCAGGTAGGCATGAAGGTGGAGATGTGTTTCACAGGTAAAAAAAAAAAAAAAAAAATTAAACCTTGCCTGGAAGCCATTTAGCAACTAAGGGGCAGAGCAGGGGAACTTGAACTCGTCTTCCGACGACACACCCTGCTCTCATCACTTCTCACAGCCTCTCCCTACAGACAGTGATCTGGGAGTTCTCTTTGCCAGCATCTTCTCTCTAGGTCTTCCTTGTCTTCCTCAAACCCTGAGAAAGCATGTGATGTTCCAGCTCTCAAGAAGAGGCGATGGCTATGCTGCCTTTTAGGGATGTGGGATGCAGCTGCCACTGCCTGTTAGATCAAGGACGAGCAGCAGGGTGTTCCTGGGTCGGTGGAGACCCGGGCGCTCAAGAGGCTTGAATCCCTGACGGTCTTAAAAGCGCAGATGGGGCATCTCAGGGGCATCTGGGCACAGCTGATTTAGCTCTAAAGTATTTGTTTCTGCTCTGTCTCAGTAGGAGGTTGGAGCAAAGAAGTCTCCTAGACCCTCATCTTCCTCCTTTTACCCCATCCTGATTCCCTCACTCCCCTCTTCCTCCTCCATTTCTTTCATTTCTCCCTTTCTCGGGAAGATTTCTTCCCCTCTCTTTTCGCCCATTTCTTCTTCTGCTTCTACAAGCTCCTTTTTTCCTTGTCCTCGAAGCTTCCTAAGGGTCTGGTCCCTGTCTTCATAATCACAGCTCTCCCACCTCGGCCTCCCTGAGCTTATTAGAATCAGAGATGTCCCGTGGGCGGTGGACATGGAGAACCCACTTGAAAAATCTCATCTTGAGGCTCAATAATGCTAACTCCACCACAGTTCGAAACTAATTGAAACTCAGTGAGGGTAAGTCACGCACCTGTTATTGACCTCGAAAGACAGGGAAGAAGGCTAACTACCTATGGAGAAAAAAAGACTGTACATGCTCTAAATGTTTGTCGTGAGTTTTGTTGTTGTTGTTAATTTGTTCCTTGTGAACTCTATTTTCAGGCACCTAAGTCACCAACTTTGAAGGTGGAAATAAGGCCCGTCTCTCACAAGTAGATGTTAACAGGAAGCCATACTAGCTGCAGGCAAAGGTCCTTGAGTTTGGAGCCAGCAGGTCATTAGGCTGTTATGGTAACTCAGCACCGACAGCCTGGACAAAGGGCATATTCTAAAAACCAAAGACAAATAAACAATTGACAATCAAGTCTCCTTCTCAGAAACTCTGGGTCTGGGTGTCAGGGCAAGAAAGGGCAGGCAAAACAGATAAGACCAGACAAGACCCTGAGGGCCAGGTAACAAAATAAAAACCCACATCTGTATAGCCCTTTGTAATTGAAACACTTCCACACAAATGAGCAATATGATTTTTACAACACCCCAATAAAGGAAGTAGAATAGGTATAATGTTACTTTACAGACAAGAGGGCAGGATCAGAGAAATTATAGGACTTGCATGAGTCCCATGGTAAGAGGCAAAGGCGGGATTTCCAGCCAGGTGCGCCCTTTCCAAATAACCATAATTATGGAAAGTGCTTACCTGGTACTTAGGTGGTAAGACAATGACAGGTTGGGGATTCTTAATTCCCCTTCGAAGGTCTTTTCACTACCTAAAAATGCCTACATCATCAAATTATGTAATCAAATTTCTTTTTCTCTGGCTTTTGGTAAAAATTATTCTAAGCAGTGCTGCCTCCAGGCAAATAACAGATAAAATTAAAAAGAAGACAAAGACTATAGACCAGTTCAATCCTTACGCTATTACTTCCAGTCTTCTGAAACAGTGACTATCGCACTTTATCTGGAGGTTATAGAAGCAGCGTTCTACTTTCGCCTGCAGTGGGCTTTCAACTAAAGAGGACCTCTAGTCTTCAGAGGTGTGGCCTAGAAGAAGCCCAAGAACCTAAACTTGACCCGCTGGATCAGTGTTATTATTAGGAGGCAGGGTTATCCCTGCATGAATTCATGCTCAGCCATTTAGAGACAGTCCAAATCAACCTAGCAGATTCCCTGTACATCCCAGTGATTGCACTTAATTATAAATGCTCATTACCCATCAATGCCTTCATGCATTGGTAATCCTGCCAAACTTTTTTAACGTGACCTATGGGCAATACCCACCCCCAAAAAAAGTCTGGGACAAGTGCATCCCAGAATTCTTCCCTTGTTCCATTCTATTTTTAAGAAAGTAGTGAGCTATAACATGTCATCCATTTACACACTCAACTCATCCAAGTTATTGTGAAAAATAAAATAAAATCTGATCCCTTGGTTGGATAATTATTGACTTCTGGGTTCCAATACTATAGTTTTAACATAACCTAGACCCTGTGTCTACACCAAATAAGAGAGGTGGCAGGGAAGCTACGAACCACGCGAACAACCAGCTGTTAACACATAGCAAAGGGGCTAGCAAAATCCCCGTGGGGATTCTAGACCAGTGTAATGCCTCACAATATCATTCTCTTCCATCTCACTTAGTTTTCTATTAGTGTCCTGGCCTTTTCTGAGAGCAGCTGGGAAAACTTGGGTCCAGAAAGATTGATCAGTCCTGCAAGTTTACAACAGCAAAACAGTGATTCCTGACTTAGGATTCACGATGAGCCTATACAGTCTGCTCCAACTGGTGTTTGAAAATTTAGCTATAATACCAAAGGCATTTCCTAAATCTCACTGACAGAGATCTATATTCTCTCATTTGAAAATGTCAAGATTATGATCCGCACGCCTAGAAACTTCACCTCACTATAAGAAAACAGCCTTATAACCTTGGATTCAGGACCATGTGAAACCACCTTGGGGGCAACAAGCCCTTTGTCTGTCATTTATGGAAAAACCTAGCCTGTGAGGTCCTGGAGAGCAGAGGCTTTGCCTTGATGAAGGTTGGATTCACACAGTCTAGCTCAGTACTTGATAGATACATAAAAGGATTCAGTAGATACCTTTTGAATCAGTGAATGGACCTGCACGTTTAATTTTGGGAGATGAGAGAGAGGAGAATCAGCCAACTGACTGCTTATAGCCCTGGCGTTCAGGGGCTCTGAAGTGGCCGGGCATATTTTGAAAAGGTCATTTTACCAGCCTATAACTGCAGGCTGAAGTAGACGGGAATGGCGATCATTGGTGGTGTGGAAAAACAAGTTCTTACTGCCCCCTGGTGGTCAGGATGATTTCAGATTCCAAAGTCCTGCACTCCCAGCACTGAATTTAAGCATCCTGGTAGCCAGGAGTCTGCAGGTTTCATTTACCCAACCCCTTCTCCAAACAGCAGAGTTCTCGGCTTAAAGGCCAGAAAGATGCCACCCCAATCCCAAAGTCCTCGAAGGAGGCTTTTCATCTCTATACTGAGAGAAGATGAATATGTCAAGGAGCTGAAATTGAACATTTTAAAGTGAACTGCCTTTCAGTGAATGGTCTGTGGTTTCAAGAGCTCCTAGAAAAAAAGGAAAATATTCAAGGAAAATAATAATTTCCTGTCTGGAACATTCAGATGTCTATCTATTTAAGATTATCAGGTCAGGTCACCCTTCTGAGCAAAAAAGACATTCTGGAACCCTTTCAGACTTTGAACTGTTAGCATTCCATGATTGCATTCCCACTTCATCGAAGGAGAAACTGAGGGTCCAAACCAACTTTTGGAAAAATGATAACTATCCTCTCAAGTCTACAGAAGGTTTTCAGTTTTATTTTGTTTTATTTTAAATGCATGGTAAGTGAAAAAACAAAAACAAAAAACCATAAACTGCTACAGAGGTTTCTAAGGCAGCATCACATGTGCAGGGATTTTTGTGTTTTATTCCACTTGTTGCCTCGCCAGGACCTAGAGCAGTGTCTGACTCATCAATACATATTTGGTGAATGAATGAATGAATGAAGCCTAAAGAGAAAGAGCTGTTTTTTAATGGAAATTATTGCTTGTTGGAGAGGATGTCATCTCCTTCCTTGAGAATCTTTAAAAACAGGTTGAATTCTCATTTACCTTAAAAATTATAGAATCTGACGCTGGAAGGAACCTTAGAAATCATCATTTTAATTTCTTCATTTGGTTTCATTCATTCACTTCACAGATGAGGAACATGAAGGTCAGAGAGGTTAAACAACTCACCATAGGTCACACAGCAATTACATGGCAGACCCTACAGTGACTCCAAGTCTTCATTCCTGACACTTTCTAAAAGAGCAATGATGTTCAAAGTTTTTGGCTGTGACTTACAGTAAGAAATACATTGTGACCCAGTACACACCCACACAATTACACACACACAACACTAAAAAGAGTTTCCTGAAACAATACTCACCTTCTCCATGCAATAACGTACCCTGGTCTACTGTCTACTCTATTTCATTTTTTTAATAATATTCTGATCACAACTCACTAAATTAATTTCACAACTTAAAATTTTAAAACATTATAACCTCTCAGGCTGAAGTCCTCCAGAATCTTCTTCCAAGGAGAAAAGAACTAGAGTGATCAGCTTCTTGGGACTCCTTGGCCCAAAGATCCCAGTTTTATGACTCAGTAGAGGCAGTAGTATCTCCCACCGTCAAGTTTCATTTCACTTCCAAGAATGCAGTCCAAGCAACCCTGCTCTCCAGCCAGGGTGAGTAACCACACTACGGTGTTTCAGGACACAGACCAGGGCCACTGGTAGCAGCTTTGTCCTTGTCCTTGACTAGCTCTCTAACCCACAAGTTAGCAGGGATTTGCGTCCTTACATAAAAGAGCATGTCCTTATCTCTGCTGCCGTCACTCTCCCCTAGCCTAGGAGCCTGGGGGGAGGGGGCGGAGAGGGGAGCAGGAATAAGAGGAGCCCGGAAGGGGAAGCGCAGGACAAGTAGGTGGGTCTGAGGTCATCAGCTACGTAAATAGATGTGAACAGACGGAGTGCTAAACAATCTCCAGGAGCCAGGCAGCCTCCCCCCACCCGCGCACAGGGTTACACAGAGCCTCCTTCTCCTAAGCCCATTTGATCGTTTCCCCCCATCTCTTCCCCTGACGTCCTCTACCAAATATTCTCCCTCTCTCTCTCTCACACACACACACACTTAGATGCTAAGATCGTTCACATGGTGGGAGATGGCTTCTCAGCTATTTCCCTTCTAACTGACAGGTTGGAACTTTCTCCTCTGACTTCCCACTTTCCCGCTGAGAGACAGCAAGACGGGATTTGGCAGGGGGCTGCTTTACGGCAGCCGTGGCAGAAAGCCTCCCCATAGCAACCTGGGCACATTCCCACGACTCCCTGACACAGGTGGAATTTCCAGGGCTGGCAACTCACCCCCTCTCAGAAGCAGCACACAAGCTGCAGGCTACCCCCCTCCCTTCCCAGTGAGTCTCAGCCTGGCTTCGGGCTGCCCAGTAGTGAAGGCAATGAGCCAGGAAGGGTGCTGGACAATACTTCGAATATTTATTGGCCCTTTCAGATATCCTCAGACAGCTTTGGAGTCTACGGCTCCAGGTCTTGAGTTCTGCTCGTGAAAGGGGAAGACTAGAATGAACTGGGAGGCAGCAGAGCACTACCCAGCTCTGCCATCAATGTGCTGTGTGATGTTAAGTCAATTACTTAACCTCTCTGGCTCTGTTACCTCATTTTTAACACGAGAGATTCAGTTTTCTAAAAAACGACTTCTCAACATTTCTTTATTATATTGCTATGCTTAAATAAAATTGTATCATCACTCTCATAGTATAAAAATCCCAGATTCACAATGAAGACATGCATCTTTACCAAAATAAGTACAACATAAGTAAAAGTCTGTTTCTGGAATTGGGCATTTTCCCCCATAATGAGATTTTTAAAATTTAACCACTTAAAAAAAATTGAAGTCTAGTTCATTTACAATGTTGTTTAGTTTCAGGTTACAGAAAAGTGATTCAATTATATATATTTATATAAACACACACATACACACACATATATATACGTATATTCTTTTTTTATTTTAACATTTACTCTTTATTGTGTTGTATGAGTACCACGTGATGCAAGTAGGTACTGTACTAAAACACCCATATTTCCAAATAACATTATGTGGTGTGGCCCACAGTCTCTGCAGAAGCATTGTGAGTAAAGTATGACAACAGATGAAGGAAAAAAAATAAAGCTAAATATGAATAATTTTTCCAAACATACACAGCTTACAATGGAACCCCAATGGAAAGTCAAATGACCATATTTGATGTAGTACCTATAAAACGCAGACTCTGCAATAAAAAGCCAAAGGCACATAAAAATATATTTTAACTTTAAAAATAACTTAGTTACAGTAATACTTTGCTTGTGTCTTACCAACATGTAGCTGACAGTCAAAATTTTGCAATATAGATATAATATATAGGGATATCTAAGAGCTACAAGCAAATCCCCGAAACCCATAAAGTTGTTCAAATGTGAAAACAGAGAAAAGTTCTAACACGGAAGAATTTGCTACGGTGAGCCCAAACAATATAGAAAACAGTCTAGAAAAAAGGCGTGGGTGTTAAATAAATTTTGACTTCCTCGTGCTCAGAAAATGCCAGAGTACTGTAAAGGTCCCTAATGTGACTGGCACAGCCCTTCATAAGTAGTGCCAGTCCTGGCCAAGCCAGATTTCTTACATGTCTGAAGGTCTGAAAACAAAAAATGTGAGCTGTACGTCAGCAATGCCCGCCGAAAATGGGTTCTGACTCACTTCCTCTCTTTGCCAGGATAGGTTTTTTTGTTTCTTTCACTGTTTTTGCAAACAGGGCATATATCAGGTAAAAACATATTCTGTAGGAACGTCATTTTAGAAAACCCATCACGTGACAGCAAGTATAGCCAGCGAAGCTCTTCTCTTTGACTGTGGTTAGTTTTGTTTTGTTCTGGTTTTTGATACCTTTTATCCCAAAGGAAAAGAGCCAGTGGTGTCCTGTTACTTACTTTTATCCATGACATTCAGCACCTCATCCAGAAATGAGGGCCCAAGATCGAGCTGCAAGGAGAGGAGGGAACCCGTGAGATCAGAGAGGGACTCCTCTGATTTAGTCTTTTCCTTGACGAGCTCGCACGGGGCGGAATGGTCAAACATGTCCTCCGCCGCCCAGTCGGGTACTGTTCGGAGAGGCTGCCCCTGCCCTGGCTGGACTGCGATGCGGACCCGCTGGACCCCCACGAGATGTCCCCCTGGTGGACTGTCCCGTTCTCCAACAGATTGCTTTTCTCCGGAGCCTTCTCCTCCATGACCTGCTCACAGCTAAGCCGGGGCAGCCTTCCCGGCCCTAAGGACTCCTGTTCGGAACTGAATGTCACCGGTGACAACAAGGGCAACATGAGTGCTTGGGGCCCTCGGATGGTTGGGAGGGAGATGGCGTTTTTGAGCACCGGGGAGGGCATTTCTGTGAACATGGAGTCGGAGGTACTGTTGGCCCGGAAGAACTCGTTATGCCCAGGGAACTGGCCCATGCATGCTTTCTCCTGGTTTCCAGGTAGAAGCTCATTTCCTCGAAGAAAGGAAATGTCTCCAAAGACAGTAGAAGCTCATTTCCTTGAAGAAAGGAAATGTCTCCAAAGATGTCGTGCTGGCCCTCTTTGCCGATGTGAATGGTGTGGCAGAGGTCTCCAAGGGAAGGGCTGATCATATCCGGAGACAAGATGTCCCTCAGTTTAAATTTCTTTCCTTTCTTGTTATTGGCAGCTTTCAGGTAAATTGGGGTCTTGGCTGACATTTTGGAGTTTGAAGATGTCGATTTTGCAAAAGGGAAAAAGGGCCACTTTCTTCACAGATGTTACAGGTTTCCCAATATCCTTTTTGATAGGAGCGGTCACATCATTTTTCTCAAGTAGCTTCTGAAGTGGCTCTGAAACGAGATGGATGTCTAAGAGGCCTTCCTGGACTTACAGCCAAGCAGGGGTTTCTGGAGAGCCGGTTACATCCGCCAGTCCCTTCCACAGCATGGAGAAACCAGCGGCGCCAAGGATCCCAGCCGCTGACCCCGGGGCCGGGCGCCCGGCACCGACAGTCCCCGAAGGCGCACGCAGTCCCTGCCTGCCACGCGCAGATCCAGCCGGGTCAGCCGGCGCGGCGCCTGCCTGCTCACAGCATTACGCGCTTCGAGACAGCGTGAAGGCGCCCAAGGCCGGGGTCTCCGGACTCCTATACGTATATTCTTTTTCAGATTTTTTTCCATTATAGGTTGTTACAACATATTGAGTATAGTTCCCTGTGCTATACAGTAGGTCCTTGCTGTTTATCTATTTTATATATAAGAGCGTGTATATGTTAATCCCAAACTCCTAATTTGGAGAGATTCAATTTTTTTTTGAATTTTATTTCATATATTTTTTATACAGCAGGTTCTTATTAGTTATCTATTTTATACATATTAGTGTATATATGTCAATCCCAATCTCCCAATGCATCCCACCACCACCACCCCCCTGCCGCTTTCCCCCCTTAGTGTCCATACATTTGTTCTCCACGTCTGTGTCTCTATTTCTGCCCTGCAAACCGGTTCATCTGTACCATTTTTCTAGATTCCACATACATGCGTTAATATACAGTATCTGTTTTTAGAGAGATTCAATTTTTAAAACAACAAAAATTAATTGGTCACTTTCAATGGTCCCTTCAGTAGTTCAGGGAATTAATTCATTATCTTGAAAACTAGCAACTAAATGAAACAAGTCAACATTTGTTGGGTTTTTTTCCCCCTATATCAACTACAACACTAGATAACCAAATCGTTGCCAAGGGGAAGCACCTCCTTTTTAAAGTATTCCAACAAATACATAAAAAATAAATGATGGGAAATCACCATTTTGCAACATCTGATGAATTGATGAATCTAGACAACGAGCATCAATGATTACTAAGGTCAATAAAAGAGAGACAGATGTTATGTGCTTCCCACCCACGAACTTGCCGAAAAGATCTACTCAGATCAAACCTAATCAGGTCAAACTTCTGGGTCCAGCAAGAAATTTGCAGGCAAAAAAGTGGACAGAGAACCGTTGAACTGCATTGCGAGTGTGCAGGCAGCACATTCCAGACTGCGAGGAACTCCACAGGCCATGTGCCCCGAGTTCCTCTCAAAATAAAGTGTAAGGAAAAGAAACTGATGAAAAGTGAACCTGGAGAGGAACAGGGACTCAGAAGACATGTCGACTTTTTAAAATGGAAAAGACTACACTAGCATGTCGAGAGAGTTGTGGTCAAACGATAAAACTGAAAGGAAACACCAGAAAATTATGACAACAGGAGTCAGCAGGGCGATTACTTTCAGGGCGGGGAGAGTCTATGGTTGGATCAGGAGACAGCACTGAGGGGGCTGATGGAGTTCTATTGCTTGGCTGTCCGCCCCTGCGTTTGTATTTTAATTCATAATAAGGTGATTTTTTTAAATGAGAGAGTAGAAAAATCACCTTTACTTCCTGACAGAGCTAGATGGCTGGGTTCTGGAATTCTAAATCTGGAAAGTGACAGGTGTCGTGATGACGAGGTTGGTTGTGGGACTGCTAAGCGGCAGGAGGCGGGGGGGGCGGGGGCAGGAAGGCCAAGGATGTCCTGGCTGCAGAGCTGCGGAGACTTGGCCTTGACTCCTGACTGCCACTTCCTGGCTGGGACACCAGGAAACTCAGCTAACCTCCCTCATCTCATTTTCCTCATCTACTAAGTAGAGATAATAGTTCTTGCCTTGTCATTATGACAATCAAATAAGATAACTCATCAGAGCTCATAGTGCAGAATCTGGCGCACAGGAAGTACTCAATACGGTCATCCTATTATTATTATTATTACTAGTACTACTACTATTGTTATTATCTATCTGATTATTAGGATGCCCCTAATGTGGACAGAAGTAAACCAGAAGGTGGATTTCTCCTTCAAAAAGGGAAGACGAGAACATGGCCCCTTTGGGACACTAGTGACCGGGGCGGTTGTAGAAGGTGCAGCTTCGCAAGCCTTCTGCTGGCTCTCCCCAGTGTGACGTGTCCCCAGTGGACATGCTCCCTACTTGATCCACTCATCCTCTTCCCCATTAAACATTCAACCAGGCTTCCACTCGAAGCCACTCTCATCAGTCTGATGGCTTCCTGTTCTTGCTGCTCTCCGGGGGGTGCGGAAACCCCAGGGCACCACTCACCGCGTCCATTAGTCACTGGAGCCACTTTGTGTGAGGAAGCCTCAGGGACAAGCAAACACCGTGAGAGGCAGGAGAGCCTGGTGGCTACGGGCATGAGCTCTGCACAGGGCTGATGACCCACACCCGCCCCCGGGTTACCTTAAGGATGAAGTTCTGAGTGGACACACACAGCCTTTGGAATCTAGGGAGCACCAGACCCTTGTCAGGAATTGCTGTGATGCCTCTGGCATCAGAATGGCCAGATGTCTCCTGCTCTCCTTACTTTAACTTCCTGGGCAGGGAAAGTAATAGACTCCCGTGCCATTTGGGGCTAAGCGTAGTCAGTCTTCCTTCACGTTATTATTCAGACAAGTTCCTCTTACCTGTGAGACCACGGGCAAGTTATTTAACCTCACTGTGCTCCCATTTCTTCATCTATAAAATCTACATAAGAGAATCTGCTTCATATGGTTGTCATGGAGAGTAACTGAATTAAAAAAGACAAATTGCTTTAAACGATGCCTGGCACGTGGTCTGTTAAAAAAAAGGCTCCGTTTCACAGTTTTCTGGATTCAAGTACTAGCTCTTTCCCTTATTAGTTCAATGACACTCGAGAAGTTGCCTCGCTTCTCCATGTCTCTGCTTGTTCATCTATCAAATGGGGATAATAATAGTGCCATGCTTGCTGGATTGGCGTGAATATGAAATAGATAATGCAAAAAAGATCCTGGCTTACACAAAATATTTAATAAACATTAGATATTATTATCCCTATAATACCAGATAATAAGCAAAGTTTTGTTTTTTCCTCGCTATCCAAAGAGAGCAAAATGCACAAAATACTCCAACAAGATACTGGGTAGAGATCGTCCAAAGCAAAGTCCTCATCTCCAGGCACTGAGATATTCTCGCACACCACGAAATGGCACCGCTGGGATCAAGGATAGGCAGGTCTCTCAGGATCCATCACATCTCAGGGGACAGTAGAGCAGTGAGACACATGGTGTGGCACCTCTAAGCCACAGGAAAAGGGGATGGATAAAGGGGAACCAGCAAGCAGATTTTTCCATGGAAGGATGGTGAGTAAAGGGAGGAGGAAGGCGTGGCAAAGAGGAGAGAGGCTTCCTTTCTACCATATGAGGTGCATTCATCAACCCAGCCTCATTGTTCCAAAGAACGACCAAACCATTATTACTGAGAAACAGCAGCTAGAGCCTACTGGGGTAACAGGATTCTCAGAGTCTTGATCTCTAGTTGCCTTTTCGTTCTGATACTTCATTTGATTCTCTCAACAGTTCAGCAGGACAGAAAAAAATGTGAAGGGGAAACCCTATTTCACAGATGGACTGCAGACAAAAGAGAGAAAAACTTATCCAAGGTCAGGAACAACTTGGGTCTCTTCGCCCGTTACCCAGCGCTCTCTGGCTGAGCACAGGCGCTCTCACCCTGGGCTACTTGTTGGAACCACCTGAGAAGCTCTGAAAAGTACTGGCGCCCGGGTCTCCCTGACGGAGATTCTGATGAATTTGGTTTGATGTATTTGGTCTGGACATTGGGATTTCTAGACACTCCTCATTCAGTTCTAATGCACAGCCAAGGATGAAAATTACTACTTGAACATATTTGATTTCGTGGATAATAAGTTAAATCCACACTTCACCCAGGGCAGCTCTGATATCTCCTTTGTCCTTTTGGGTAAGGCAGGCAGATAGGGAAAAGAAACAGTGTAAAAATTAATTCCTTCCTTGAAAAATGAATCCAGGCATCTTTTGGTTATCTACCAAGAGGGGTGGTGTATCTGAAAACTTCAAAGGAGGGAAGGGTCCACTGTTTCCCTCTATACATTTCCAAAATTTTACTACTTAATTTCATTTGTGTTTCAGCTGAAAAAGAAAACCACTTTTAATAGAATAGCCCTTCCTTAGTATGAAAATCAAGATTATCTTTCCACAAACTTTCTTTTCCAGAACTTGTTTGATTTCAATAAACTAAAATTTATTAAGGATCTACAATGTTCAATGGCTCATGCGACATTTATTGAGATTTTGCTAAATGAGTGTGACATAGTTCTACACTCAAGGGATTATAAACTTGTAGGGAGGACAGGAAAGGTACACAGGTAACTACCAGCAGAAAGTTATGCCAAGTGCATGGAAGTAATTAGGACAGTGCTTATCACACATAAGGTGCTCAGTCTTTATATGGGAAAAGAAGAACAGGAGGGGTGGTGGGAGGAATTGGGAGATTGGGATTCACATATATACACTATTGATACTATGTATAAAATAGACAACTGATGAGAACCTACTGTACAGCACAGGGAACTCTGCTCAGTGCTTCATGGTGACCTAAATGGGAAGGAGATCCAAAAAAGAGGGGATACATATATACGTATAGCTGATTCACTTTGCAGTACAGTAGAAACTAACACAACATTGAAAAGCAACTATACACCAATAAAAATTAATTTAAAAAAAAAGACAAGGAGAAAAGAAGAGAGGTGGGAAGAAGGACTGGAAGGATGGGAGAAGTAAAAATTTACTATGGATTTTTTGAGATGAAAGCCCATAATGTGTTGGGAGGGGGTTGCAATGGCAGCTTTGAGAAGAGGTTGGAGTCACGAGGTTTGGAAGTGGAGAGGCAATTCCATTTGGAGGGAACAGTACACACAAAAACAGGAATGTGCAGAGGCACTGTGTTTTTGTTTTTGGTTTTTTAAAATATTTATTTATTTATTTATTTGGCTGTGCTGGGTCTTAGTTGCAGCACACGGGATCCAGTTCCCTGACCAGTGATCGAACCCAGGCCCCCTGCATTGGGAGCGTGGAACATTAACCACTGGACCACCAGGGAAGGAAGGCATGACTATGTTTGGGAAACACAAAATGGTATGACTGGAGAGAGCAGAAGGAATATCAACACTGAGAGTAAGAGAGAAAGTGGTGAAAGAGAAAGCTGTTGCCAGTATGAAAGCAATGGACAGAATAAGGTTCTTATTCCTAACTGGGGGGCAACAGGATGACAGCAAGTCCTGGTTTTCTCAAGACAGTATTCATTTACATCTCTGGTTCATGCATAATTACTAAGAACACCCTGCTTCACTCTCAAAAGTGCTATGGTT